GCGCTCACGGGGCGCGGGAAGAAGTCTGGCTGATGAGGGCAGGGAGCAGTTCAGAAAGAAGGGACTGGATCGGGGAGCCCTCCGGGCAAGACTGGCTGCCTGTTCCTTGTCGGGCAGGTAACTGAGCAGGGGGTGTGTGTAGCCTGTTGGTGCGTGCGCTGTGCCGGGGTTCCCGCAACACCCACCCACTCACTTTCCCCTGCCTTTCACCTTATAAGCAGTGGACAACAGAACTCTCAAATTCCTAGCCTGCTTTACTGCTAGCGTTGGCCAATGAAACGTGGGCTGGAGTTTATGAGGAGGGCTTCCTTCTTGGATAGAAAGACCTTTGGCTTTTGCGCTTTCCCTTTTTCTGTGTGTGTGCCTGGAATGCGGATATGATGCCTTGGGACATAGCAGCCATTTTGTGACTTGGTGTGAGGTGACAGGCACACAATAAGGACAGCAGGGTAAGAGAAGGAACCTGGTTCCTTGAAGACAATCTCATCTGATCATCATTTGACTCCTCACCACCCCCCTCATCACTAGCCATTCCTCTCACCCTGCAGTCTACAGTCAGCACTGGTCAAACATGTGATGCACATCGTATTTCCCGTGTCAGAGTTTCTCAGTCCTCCCTTTCAAAAATTACTGATTGTGTCTGTTAAAGTGTTTCTACTGCATGCTTAAACTTGAGAAGAGGATCAGCAGTGTTATGGGGAGGAATGTTCACATAGCAAAAGAGTCAGGGGACCTGAGTTTAGTTCTGGCTTTGCCGTTGACTGCCTCTCTGACCTTGTGCAGGCCAGATCAGTGTCCTCATCTGTAAAATGGGGGTATTGGACATGATTTGATTTTCCAGCTCTTTTGTTCAGTGACTCTGTGATGCCAATGGTGAAATCTTTCCAGGGGACGAGGAAAACCATACATGTTTGATAGTGCAAACCCCAACAGAAGTTTACAGGCGAGAAAGCAGGGAGGACATGTCCATGCCACAGCAGTGGTGCGGGGCCAGTAGGGAGGAGCGTAGTGGGGAGGGGAGGACTCTACCCCTGCTGGATCAGCATCAGAGGCTGTCTTCTCTGGGTTCTGAAGAAACCGAAAGGTGGGTCAAGTCCAATGTCTGTTACCAGGTGTCACTTCAGTGGGCTGTGCCAAATGGTCTTGAGTACAAAGCTGGTGTCTAGAGTGAGCATTCCTGGAGAATTCAGATGATGCTGTCTCCAAGTTCTTAAAGGAGTACATTGACCCGTTCGTTCTAGATGTTCTAGATGTTCCTGTGCAGGTCCATGTGCTACAGTGTAGCCATTAAACACACGTGTCTGTAGTTCAAACCGCAGGTTCCATTACGGGTTGACTTAATGGGAAGGTCATCGCCCTGACAGCTGCTCAGGGGATCAGCAGGGCAGCTGCCTTAGTAAGTTCTTATCTCTTGTTTGCTCACTAACTGTTGAGGTGTTGAATTATGCGGGCAGATCCCACAGTTATTTAATTCTGCTCTACTTCTTTTGTTATTGGCTTTTGTGCTTCTGTTGTCTTAAGTTACAAATATAAAAGTGGCTGCTCCTGATCCCAGGCAGATGAAGGAGGGCACACCTCATGTGTTTATTATAACATAACTTTTGACTCTGTGAAACTTAGTTCTCTGCCTCAGTTTCTCTTCACCGTAATAAATTTACTGCTGGGGCCCTACAGCAGCGCATAGCTTTCTGAAATCATGTCAGTTCAGATTTAGGACTCCAGAATGATAAGACTGTCAGGTTACCTTTACCTTCTAATTTATAACAACTTCTTGCACATTATATTCCTCACCTGAGCTAATAATGCTCCTTAAATATAGTGGTAGGATATGGTTTGACATTTATGAAAACACTAGTACACTCTTAGGAGGAAAAGTGTTGAAATAACCCATTTTTCTCATTATTTGGAGTTTAGTCACCTGCTCATAAATGGAATACAGGCTATCAAATCACAGAATAGTAGTATTTTGAGAGATGTTAATAACAGAATCCTACTTTCTTTAAAACACTATTTTATTTGATATTAAAGGGACAAAGTCAGATGACAAGCATGATGTATGTCACGTTGTTCTAATTAACGATAAAAATAATAACGGAAGGGTGAGACTAGATAGTTTGAAATTCCACCCATTTTATAAGAAAAACAGCAGTGGAAATAAGATAAAGAGAGAAAAGGCTAAATGACTTTCCATTCATGAGAGCAGCTTGACCAAGTCAACAAAGGGTTTATTTGTGCGTTGTGTCTACCAGGCTTTTGCAAGAGAAGGTGCCAGAGTCATAGCCACAGATGTCAATGAGTCCACACTTCAGGAACTGGAAAAGTACCCGGGTAAGCAACTCAGCATCTTGAGTCCACGAGGTATTATAAAAAACAGTGCTGGGCTGGCCAGGTGGCGCAGCGGTTAAGTTCTCACCCTCCGCTTCCACAGCCTGGGGTTCACGGGTTCGGATCCCAGGCGTGCCCCGACGCACTGCTTATCAAGCCATGCTGAGGCAGCGTCCCATAGAAAGTAGAGGAAGATTGGCACAGATGTTAGCCCAGGGCCAATCTTTCTCAGCAAAAAAGAGGATGATTGGCATCGGTGTTAGCTCAGGGCTGATCTTCCTCACAAAAAAACCATGCTCACGTGCTGAAAGGAAATTTCTTAGCTGCTCAGCTCCACCGGCCTTCTTTTTAGAGCCTGATTCTTTGATATCAAATCTATATTCTGTGATCCTAGGGACAAAACTCTGTATACTTAAATATATAAACAAAATTTTAAGA